ATCTCTAAATTCTGCTTCCACTTTAATTGATAGGTCTGTCTTCAAGTCACTTCTCTCTTCTTGCATTTTAAGCAATCGGGAAGAAGCAAGTCACTTCTTCAACATTTTGCTTAGGAAGCTCCCCAATCCAGTATCCAATTTCATTGCTCACAACTTCCACCTTCCACAAAACACTAGAATTGTAATACAATTCAGCCAAATTCTTTGCCACTTTATAACAAGGACTGAATTTTCTCTATTGTTCAATAACGTGTTCCTCATTTTCGTGTGAGACCTCATCAGAATGGCCTCCACCACCCATATATCTACCAGTGTATTTTCTGCTCAGGACCACTTAGGTTTTCTCCAAGAAGATAGAGGCCTCTTTTCTTTCTGAGCTCTCATCAGAATTGCCTTTACAGTTCTTTTCATGACAATCTAGACCTTTTCTAGCATGCACATAAAACTTCCAATCTCTACTTACTACCCAGATGCAAAGCCACTTCCACGTTTTTAGGTACTTGTTACAGCAACATCCCCACTTCTCTGTACCAATATCTCTTACTTAGGGTTTTATGGGAAAATAGAACCACTTGGATATGTATAGGTATACAGAAAGAAATTTATTATAAGGGGTTGGCTCATGTAATTATGGAGGCTAAATCCTATTATCTACCATCTGCAAGCTGGAGACCCAGGAAAGCTGATGCTATAAAGTCCAGCCTGAGTTTGAAGGCCCAATAACTGGAGGGCCAATGGCCCTGGTCTGAGTCTGAAGATCTGAAAATAAGGAGCACAGTGACCAAGGACAGGAGAACATGGATATCCTAGCTCAAGTAGGGAGCACATTTGCCCTCCTCTGTCTTTTATTCTATTGAGGCCCTCAGTGGATTGGATGATGCCCATTGCATTAGTGAGGGCAATCTTCCTTACTCAGTTTACTGATTCAAATGCTAATCTCTTCCAGAAATATTCTCACAGATGCACTCAGCTACCTGGGCATAGACGTGGCCCTGTCAAGTTGACATAAAATCAACCATCACATCTAGTTACTATCATGTCCTTCATTTCTTAAATGTCTCCTGCTCTTTTCACACAAGAGGGGGGAAATTGCCATGCCCATTGTTGTGAACATATTTAATCACCCGTGATCAAAATCCACTTTTTGGAGAGTGATGGTAAATGGTATAACAGACATAAAATTCTATTTTGTTTTGTTTGTTATGAGCAGCTCAGCTTTATACTAACACTGTTTCTTACAAGGATCTCTATCACATGGTGAGCTGGGAAGTGATAAAGAGCATACATTTATAATTCTGCCACTGAATATAAAGGCTCAAAAAGTCCCATTGGTTAGTGAAACAAAGCAGGCTTCAGAAATAACATTTTGGATAATTATTCTACTATTTTTTTTTCTGGGAGGTTATATGAGTGATCAGGTGTTTAACTTTGATTTTTGATAGTGATTTCTTTAGAAGTGCAAGGGAGATGGTTAACCCAAACTCTTGACACATACATGCAATGAAATACTACTTCAGCAATAAAATGGACTACTTATACATGCAGCAATATGCACAAATTGCAAAAAGTTTATGCTGAGAGAAAAAGTCTTTTTCAAAAGCATGCATACTATATGATTCTGTTTATATAGATTCTAAGACAGACAAAACTAATCTTTGGTTAAAAAAATCACAAATGTGGTTGCTTTGAGATAGGGGAGGACTGAAGATAGACTGGGAAGGGGTATGAGGGAACTATCTGGGGGTTAGTAGTATTCTATATCTTGATAAAGGTGATTGAGTAACAGGGGTATATGCATCTCTCAAAATTCATTGAATACACTTATGATATTATTGTATGTAACTTTTACCCCAAAATATAAACAAAATAACAGTATACATGCTGAAGTGTTTAGGGGTAAAGTGTACTGATACCTGCAATTTACCTTAAATTATAATACCTACAACAACGGATAAATACACAATAAGACAAATAGAGTAAAAAGTTAACTGTAGAGAGTAGCTGGTGATTATTCAAGTGCTCATTGTCCAATTCTTTCAACTTTCCTGCAGTTTTGAAAATTTTATAATCAATGTTAAAAATATAACTTCAGAATAAAACCTATTAATATTTAAAAACCACAAAGGGTACTCTGGCTGTGTTTTTTTTGTGTGTGTGTGTGATGTAATATTCTTTTAAGCACTATCATTAGAGAAATTAAATTACTTGTCAAAGCTAAATGAGAATTTATTCCACTACCTTTTCTCAAAATGAAGCCTAAAAGAGACATTTAAAATTATAAACATATAAGGATTTCTTTTTTTCAATTATAGTTTATACTCAATATTATTCTGTATTTGTTTCAGGTGTATAGCATAGTGGGAAGACAATCATCCTATATAATAAAGAGATAATATGCAAATTAGCCCTCATGCCCTCACAAGATGGCTACCTACGACCAGGCCAGCAGGGGGGTTAGTGAGGGATGACCAAACGACTGAGCAGCAGGCTGCGTGGGGCAACAAGGCTGACAGGAGGGTTATTGAGGGATGACCAAACAACGGAACAAGCCAGCTGCATGGGTCGATCTGCAGCTTAGGCTGGGGCGAGGCAGAGGCGGTTAGGGGTGATCGGGTTGGGAGGGGAGCAAATTAGGGGCAATCAGGCCGGCAGGCAGAGGCAGTTAGGGGTGATCAGGCATGCAGGCAGGTGAGCGGTTAGGAGCCAGCGGTCCCGGATTGCGAGAGGGATGTCCGACAGTCGGACATCCCCCAAGGGGTACCAGATTGGAGAGGGTACAGGTTGGGCTTAGGGGACCCCACCCCCAGTGCACAAATTTCGTGCACCGGGCCTCTAGTATACTTTATAAAGTGATCTCCCCAATGTCTGAAGTACTCACCTGGCCCCATACATATAGTTATTACAGTATTAGTGACTATATTCCCTATGTTATACTTTTCCTTCCCATGACTATTGGTGACTCCCAATTTGTACTTCTTAATCCTTTCACCTTTTTCATCATCTCTCTTGGCAACCATCAGTCTGTTCTCTGCATTTATGAGTCTGTTTCAGTTGTGTTTACTCATTTGTTTTGTCCTTTAGATTGCATTTACATATAAGTGAAATCATAAAACACATAAGGATTTCCGAGTTGCAATATGGCACATGAATGCTTATGAAATTAAATTTATAATTAAAAACTACTTAATATTATGTTTTGACTATACATCATTTCATTTTAAGTTTTTTTTTTCTTTTGCTGATCTCTAGGTTCTGAAATACAAAGAAGGATGATAGCAGGTGATAGGATTCAGTTAAGAAGCATGTACTATTTTAAAAGAACTCATAAGAAGTATTTTTTGAAAATCTTCATTTCTGGGTACAAATAATATCACAGGAACTGACTTTTTATTCCATGAGAATTATTAGAATGTAGGAAGCCTGGATTATAATTCAAAATGACCATGGCAGATTAGAATGTTGTATTTTTTCAAAGGGACAAAATTCAGTAGGGACATGTACAAAAGTATACCTTTCAGGACAAAAAAAAAAAAAAACAGAAAAAGGGGAATGAATCTAGGGTGTCAGCATTGCCCATAGTCAGCTCTGCTCACTGATTAATCACTGTCCCCTGTGCTATGATTGGATCCAGCTTTCATATTTAGATAATATGGAGAAATAAGTAAAGGTTTAAAGAGGAGCAAGATGGCTAAAATTACGAAAAACGACTCCTCCAAGGAAAATCTGAGAGAAGAGGAAATTCTATAAGACTCTTTAAGATTGAAAAGGCCCAAGTTTTGCTTGCTTACCATTTTCAATTACATCAAGTGTTTTCCTGAGGAGATTCTCTGAAAAACTAACAAGGGAAATGGAGTTAAGTACTAGTTTGGTTGTTCAAATGGAATAATCTCTTGACTTCAAGGTTGATTAAAGTCTGGGATAATTATCAAGCGATGGTATGGGTTCTACGTCCCTGGAGAATTATGTAAATAAGCATAACATCAAGCCTGAGGGTGGGGGCAGACTCCGATGAGCCCTGCAAAGACCTTCCTGGGTCTTCATTCTAATGATGTTTCACTCCACAGTAAGAGTTTTGAAAGATAGCTTGGTACTGAGTTACAGTTTTTCTGGGTTTTCTATAAGGAATGGCAACTTTAATTTTGCTTCATTTAAAAAT